CTTGCAACAACCGGCCAGACCCATACTCACTCACGGGCAGGTGCTCTTCCTATCATAGCCAAAATGTGGTGTGCTTTCCAGGAAATCTAAGCCTGATACACAGGAAAATAAGCAGATACACAATGAGAAAATAGAGCTCCAGGTCACCGGGTCATTTAAATACTTTAAAAAAAAATTCATAAGACATTTTGGTTCCAGATACATTAAGTTAGTCTCTGTCTGTCTCTTTCCTTAAGATTAACAAGGAGAGAATAGATTTTGTGTTTTGTCTCCTACATCTGCTTTACCTGTGTCCTAATCCTAAATTGTTCCTCTATCTCAAATGCAACTTTTTCTCTGCTGCCTCTAGTAGTGTCAATTCAGCTCACAAGACATCTCCTCTGGAAAATCTTTGATTGATCACACCCCGAGCTGATCCCTGCTCACTCATCCATCAAATGCCACTGAGTGCTTTTTATGTCTGGCACCGTGTTAGGACCTGATAACGAAAAAAAGATAAACGAGGCATAGTTTTTACCCTCCAGGAGCTCACAGACTAGCAATGAGATAAATGCATAAGCGGAAAATAGCACCATTACTGTGTGCTGTGAAAGAAAAATGTGCATTTATCCAATAAACCTTTAATGATTGCTTACTCTATGCATGCCTTATGCTCTGGTGTGAAATAGAAAAATGAATAAGACACTTTTCTATTAAGGTGTGTCTAGTGAAGGAGACAGACAATTCAATGGTTCCGATTTAGGAACACAGAAAGTGGCACCAAGTTCACGTGGGAGCCCGGAGCATGTCACCTGCCAGATGGTGGTTGTTGGGAAATGTTCCCATAAATTTTATACAAAACAGGAAGAAGGCAGGAGTGGATTCCAGGTAGAAAGAGCAACACATCTAAAGGCAGGATGGCGTGAGAGAGCACACTGGCATTTCAGCGCAATCCTCTAAAGCAGCTCAGCATGGCCAGCCCACAGAGTGCGAAGAGGGGATGTGAGGAAAGAATCTGGAGAGGTAGGCAGAGGCCAGACCGCAGGCTCTGGAGAAGCATTGGTCATTTCAGGCAGACAAGCGGCCTCATCAGATTTGCATTGTATTTATATTTATTTATTTATTTATTTATTTTGTTCTTGAGAAGGAGCCTTGCTCCATCACCCAGGCTGGAGTGCAGTGGCACAATCTCAGCTCACTGCAACCTCCGCCTCCTAGATTCAAGTGATTCTTCTGCCTCAGCCTCCTGAGTAACTGGGATTACAAGTGAGTGCCACCATGCCTGGCTAATTTTTTGTACTTTTAGTAGAGGTGGAGTTTTACCATGTTAGCCAGGCTGGGCTCAAACTCCTGACCTCGTGATCCATCCACCTCGGCCTCCCAAAGTGCTGGGATTACAGGAGTGAGCTACCACGCTGGCCAGATTTGCATTTTAGAAAGATCACCCTAGTGGAAGTGGGTGGATCAGCACAGGTAGAGGCAGACTAGGAGAAGGACACTATTTAGTAATTTAATTCAAATTGGAAATGATGAGGTAGGAAACTGGGCAATTGTATTGAGGATAGAGAAAAGGGATGGACTTAGGAAGCACAGAGGAGTTTTACAGGCTGAATTATGTCTCTCCCCAAAATTCATAGTCCTAACCCCCCGTATTTGGTGATAAGGCCTCTAAAGAAGTAATTAAGGTAAAACGAGGTGATTAAAGTGGGCCCCAATCAAATATGACTGGTATTCTTCTATGAAGATGAGAAGAGGGCTGGATGCAGTGGCTTACACTTATAATCCATACACTTTGGGAGGCCAAGGCAGGAGGATCACTTGAGGTCAGGAGTTCAAGACCAGCCTGGCCAATGTGGTGAAACCCTGTCTTTACTAAAAATACAGAAAATCAGCTGGGTGTGGTGGCAGGCACCTGTAATCCCCTCTACTTGGGAGGCTGAGGCGGGAGAGTTTCTTGAACCCAGAAGGTGGAGGTTGCAGTGAGCCAAGATCATGCCATTGCACTCCAGCCTAGGTGACAGAGGAAGATTCTGTGTCAAGAAAAAAAAAAAGAAGAAGCGATCAGGACACACACACAGAGAGAAGGCCAAGTGAAGATGCAGGGAGAAGACACCGTCTACAAGCCAAGCAGCTCTGCTGGCACCTTGATCTCAGCTGTGCAGCCTCCAGAATTGTGAGAAAATCCATTTCTACTGTTTCAACCAACCAGTCTCTGGTACTTTGTTATGACAGCCCTAGCAGACTAACGCAAGGAGGAGGAATCAGAGGTGTAGGGAGAGGGGCAGGGGGAATAAAGGGTGACTTCGAGGTTTCAACTGTGCAGCCTAGTGTGGGATGCTGTTGTGTTCCAAGAGGGGTGACCTAGGAAGAGGAGCTGGGTCAGAGATGGAAGATGGTGCCTTCTAGACAGCCGAGTGCAAATGTCCACTAAGCAGCTGGGTGTGTGGGGTTAGGGTTTGGTCAAGAGATGGGAGCTGTGGATACAGATGTTGTGATCTCCAGAGAGAGGAGCAGTTGAAACAGAGCAGGGCATGAGGGCTCCTGGGGCACACGTGTGCTACGAGAAGAGAAGGCAGAGGACAGGACCACAGGGACCCCTATCCCTTACGGGAGAGGTGAAGGAAAAGGGCCTGGGCACAAGACAGCGAGGGGCACTAGTGAGAGTCTCAGAGAACAGTGTCTGGGGAGCCAAGAGGGGCCCTCACATGCTGGAGAGTTCACTGTTTCCAAGACTCTCTCTTCACACATGCACACGCATGCAAACACACACACATACGCGCGTGTGCATGCACATACACATGCGCACACGTGCACGCACGCACACACACACACACACACACACACACACGTACGTTTGGCCTGTTGTTTTGGAATGATTTCCCTCTTTATTTTGTGTGTGATACTCTTCAGGTTTGGGAGTTAGAACCAGAATACTGGCCGTTTGCTTCTCCAGAGGCAGCAAAATGCTTTTCAGCTCCACGTCCCTGCCAGGTAATGCCTGCCCCGTAACAGGTGGCCGTTTCGGCTGCTTTTTCCCTCTCACCCGGAAGTGTCTCTGCTGAGCTGTCTTGATTTTCCCTCCAGGGTCACCCTTAGCCATCCCTTTGGTGACGACGCATGGCTAGAAGAGAGAAACTCCATGCTCTGCTTCAGGGAGTGTGACGTGGGGCTACTTTTTTTTTTTTCAAGATAGAGTGTTGCTCTGTTGCTCGGCGTGGAGAGCAGTGACATGATCATGGCTCACTGCAGCTTCCACTTCCCGGGCTCAAGTGATCCTCCCATCCAAGCCTCCTGAGCAGCTGGGACTCTATGTCCAGCTGATTTTGTGTTTATCTCTTACCAGAAGGATTCTTTTTTTTTAGCTTTGTAGAGACGAAGTCTCACTATGCTGCTTAGGTTAGTTTCAAACTACTAGGCTCAAGAATTCTTCCTACGGGCTAGGCTCAGTGGCTCACGCCTGTAACCTCAGTACTTTGGAAAGCTGAGGCAGGCGGATCACCTGAGGTCAGGAGTTTGAGATCAGCCTGGCCAATATGGAGAAACCTTGTCTCTACTAAAAATACAAAAATTAGCCAGGTGTGGTGGCATACACCTGTAATCCCAGCTACTCAGGAGGCTGAGGCAGGAGAATCACCTGAACCAGGGCGACAGAGGTTGCAGTCAGCTAAGATTGTACCACTGCACTCCAGCCTACATGACAAAGTGAGACTCTGTCTCAAAAGAAAAAAGAAAAAAGAAGAAAAAAAGAATTCCTTCTACCGTGGCTTCCCAAAATATTGGGATCATAGGCTTGAGCCACAGTGCCCAGCTGGGGCTGCCTTTGGTTGGAATTACAGAAACCACTGCTCCCCCTGTCCTCAGCTTCCCCAGACGCGGGAAGGATCCTCTCAGCACCGGCACTACGTAGATTCCAGGGCATCGCCCTTTACTTACCCTGGGGAAGGGAAGGCACACAGACCCCTCCCGTTTATTTCTCACTGCAACCCGGTGAGACACACCTTGAAGAAAAGCAAAGTGATATTCTCAAAGTCACATGATTAATCAGGAATCCAGGATTTGAACGTGGCTCTTTGACTCTAAAGTCTTTCCACTGTGACTTTGCCCTCTCCTGCTGCTTTCTTTCCACCCCTCAGTTCTCCCTTCCTGCTCCAGCTCCACTCCATGGCTGCTCCACCTGCTCATATGCCAACCGAAGGCCTGGAGCACCTCCACTGCCAACGAGCAGGAAGCCCAGCAGCCAGTCATGAAACCTTCCCATCCGAGGTACCCCTGGGGGCTGAAGGAAACAATAGGGAGAGAGAACATGCACGATTTAGGCTTTAATGAGCGTCTTGCCTAGCTGGCAATCTGCTGGGTGAAATGTCGGCAATTTTTGCTGACCCATTCACCTTGGACAGCAATGGCTTCTGGGTGGGATCTCCAGAGAGAGGGGCAGTTGAAGCAGAGCACATTCAGTGTCTTTTTGAAGTCTCAAAAAAACTGCAAGGTGGGAAGGGCTGGCTCTCCCCGTCCCACTGAAATGAAACTGGAAGAGAATTGCACATCCAGCTGGGCATCTCAGAAGACCTAGGCAGGTTTAGTCTTGAGTGACAAACTCAGTGGTCTTGTCACTTCAGCTCATGGCTTTCCTGAGGTTTCCCAGCATGAGTCTCCTCCACGAGAGACCTGACCAGTGGTGACCCAGCCTCTGTCTGAGCATCAGCTGCCATCAGGAATGGGGACTCCTGGGCTCCAGGCTCCTAGCCTAGCCTGACACTTTGAGCTGTTCCAGTCCTTCTGATTTTGAGATGAAATCTCCCTCCATTCCACAGTCAGGAGAAAAGCCGTGCTGAATACAAGCCCTGAAGCAAGGGCCTGGGAAGCCTTTGCTCCTCACCCTCTCCCCAAGTTAAGGCTCAGAAAGGCAACTCTAGGCCCCTGGCTTGGCTGGCTGGCTGCAGTAGGCAGCCACTGTGTCTGCAAGGAATTCTGCACAGCCACACCGTTTCCTCATACCTGAGCTGTCCACAGCTGCACGTACCACTCCCGGCCTGAACACACTATTTAAGGCCAGCACACAGGAGCTGGCTGTGACTCATCGAGGAGGGCAGCAGCAGCTCCACGCAGCCAGGACCCAGACACGCCGGAAACCTTCCCCAGTCATGGCTTCTCTGGGGCAGATCCTCTTCTGGAGGTAGCGTACTCCTCTCTCTCTCCTTACGGGTGAAGGGAAGAGCAGGGAGGTCTTTTGTGGGTGCTGAACACTGAGGGGCTGTCCCATAGGACCCCACCTACAATTTTATCTGATCCAGCATTGGGCCAGCAGGAGAATGGCCCAACAAGAGCCTAACTGAACTTGACTTAACATCTCACCTCAGCTGCTCAGGGCATTTGTTCAGGGTTAGGGAGGTTTTTGGCCAGTGGCCTGCCATGGACAGCTAGCACTTGCTGGGCAGCTTGGACTAAGGGGAGTGTGTGCCAGGCTGGGCACTCCCCTGAGATGTCAAGGCTGCGAGCACCATGGGGGCACTGAGCAGGCTGGCATGGGCTGCGTGGTGGGATGGCAGGAAATCCATGACTACGACGGTGGCAGGGGGTGCAGGAGGACCCTCTGTACAGGGCCCAGGGTGAAGGAGGAGAATGTGCTTTGGTTCTTCTCTGTGGGTGTGATTTCTTGCTACGCCTGAGCAATTCACACCAACATCCCTCCCCAGACCCCACCCAGCTCAAGGATGGGGTCCCTAGTTTTCTTGGAGCTCCTTGGAAAAGAGACCTTGCTCTTGCTGAACTCCCCAGAGAGGAAGCAGGAAGCAAGTCCCCTCCCCTACCTTTGCTTCTCTCCTGAGCTACATTCCGGTTGCCTCTTTTCCCCTCAGAACAGCATTTACCATCCCGGAAGGAAGAGATAGCACGTGCAGGGCTTTCTTGAAATGTTACGTTCAATGTCAGTCACAACTCTGGACAGCGTTTAGGGAGGCCGGTACTTGTTGGTTCTAGAGGTTGTTTGAAGGACCACCAGTCCTCCTATTTCTGTTTCTTTTCCCACAAAAGGAAGAAGAGAGGGAAGGAGAGAGGAAAGGAATCCTCAGTTCAACAGTGAAAAGTTTGTGAAGAGACTTAGAGAGTAATGTTCCTTCCCAGAGGCGGCCTAGAAAATTCTTTTCCTTGAAACAAAATGTCAGTTCCCCCCACTTGACTCACATTTATCTGAATTCACCTGCCGCGTAGCAGGGGTGGGGGCTCCGCAGGGCTGCCAGGGGCGCTGCAGCCGCAGTCCTCCTCCCGACCCTGTGCCTGGCTAGGGCACTGCGCTCCAGGAGAAGCAGTGGGTAGCAGGGGTCTTCCCTCTAGATCCTTCTGCCCTGAGAGGACCTAAGAAACACCTGTGTCAGAGGAGCCGGCGTTGTGCAAGCGCCTCTTTCCCTGCCTTGCACTAAACGCCTTAGAACCGCGTGTCCACCACTGCCTTGTGAAGGCTCATTGTCACCTCAGAGAAGTTAAGTGCAGGTGAATGTGCAGCTGTGCGTGAGGGGATCTTGCTCTGAAATCCCAAGCTGTCTCCCCCTGCCACCCTTGCTCCTGCTCCTGCCAGTCCCAGCTCCCCATGCACCCCATTCCCCCAGCCTGATCCCAAGGACACGAAACGTTCCTCATGCAACAAGTGGCTCCGTTGTTGGAGGTCAGACGGGATGTGTGGGCTCTCTCATAATGCACTGCAACCAGCCTGACTGGTTTTGCTGGAGGATTAGCAGGAGGTGGGTGTTCAAAATTCGGATCCCTCATCTTTCAGAAACCCATTGGAATCAACAGAGGATCCTCTTCTTGGCCCCTGCATGCCTCATTAGTATTCACGCTCTGCAGTTTCAGAAGCAGTGACTGTCCATGAGGGTGGCATGGACCTCCATGTCCATGTGCAAGGGGCCTCCAGGAAGAGGGTCGATGAGCAGCTTCAGCGGGGAGCAGGATCCTGAAAGCTAGTCTCAGGGGTGCAGGTGGAGCCTGCCCCGGGGAACTCTTGGCCCTCTTCCTTTGCAATAATGGCTTTACTTCATAAAATACACCTCCCCTGGAGGTGATCATGACTGTGGTGATGCAGGAATGCTCATGAAAGGGACTGCTGTCCTCTGCAGACCTGGTGAGGTATTCTCCTAAGTATTAATAATTGCCAGAGAGCTGACTTCCTTCAGATCTCACTCTGAGCATGCGTGCTGCTCAGGGATGGAATGCTGATGTGCAGTTTCCATCGTGCCTGGCCTCCGTGCACACTTAGAAGCTGTGTGTTCCCCAGTCCCCATCATGGCTGTCAAGAGCAGCAGCATTTGCTCACGGAACATTTGCCGAGTGCCTGCTACAAGGACAAGGGTAGACAATCCTTGCTCTGAGGGATTAAGTTCCAGTCAACAATATTAACTGAGCACTTACTATGTCCTGAATATTGCACTAGACAATGGGGCAAAGGTGACTAAGATGCTGTCAAGATCATAACCTAATAGGGGAGAAGGACTCCCCAATAACAACTCTAACGTGCCGCCCATACATCCTGAGACAATGAACACAGGTTGCAAGGGGAGCACTTCCCTCACCCAAGGCTCTGGGAGGGTTTGTGAGCCAGAGGACGGGAGGGCTGCGTCTCGTATAATGAGTTTGTATGACCCACATGAAGAAAGGTGGAAGAGGCCGTCCAGGTAGGGGAAACAGAATTAAATCAAATACAACACAACTCATGAATGAGCATGGTGTGTGGGAAAGCTGCACACTACTCTATATCATCATGACTTGAAGTTTGAGACAGGGAATTCTGGGAGATGAGGCCGAGAGGTCACACCAGGTCACACTGGGCCTTCTTCACTAGACTCAGAACGGGGGTTTGTGGTGATGAGGAGTCCTTACAGGCTCTGAAGCAGGGCAGCCTTGGTGGTTTTCATCTCAGGTGGGCAGCAAGCCTGGAGGCCGGAAGAAGAGCTGGGAAACAGTTGTGGACAGAGTATGCAGAATGATAGGGACCTGGTGGAGATGAGCATGACAGTAAAGAACCATGGGAGGAAAATGGATTCAGGAACCGCTGGACTTAAAACTGGCGACATTTGATCAGTGATCGGAGGGGCAGGTAGGATGCTGCAGAATAAGAGTAGATGAGCCAAGGGGCAGATCCTAGAATGACTTCCATGTTTCTGGATAGGGGGCAGTGACTTGGGGACAAGGAAGAGAGAGGAGAGCTGGTTAGTGTGTTGAACTTGGATCCCCCTGGGACCTTCAGATGGGGATGCTCCCTGGCAGCAGAAGGCATGAGGCTAAAACTTGGAGAGATCAGGGCTGGGGTTAGACATCTGAGTGTCAACAGCTCAAGGGCAAGGAATAGTCATGGGGGAGGCTTCTAAGGAGAGCACATGGAGGCAGAGAAGCAAGGGTCCAGGATGGAGAACTGAAGAACACCAACATTCAAGGTTGGGTAGAGGAAGAGGGGCGTCAAGGAAAGAGCTGAGAATAAATGGTAAGAAAGCTAGCAAGAGGCCAGGAGAGAGATTAATGGATGTCAGCAGAATGGAGTTTCATGGAACACGCAGGGCTAGTGATCCATAACCTTTGGCTCTGTTGCATCTGAAATCACTAGTGACAATGGGATTCATAAGAGCATGTCACAGGAAGGAAGCTACTGAGAAGGAAGGAGCAGGGATCTTTCTACCAGAAGAAGATGGATGAAGTAGAGAATGAGGGAGCCTAGAACCAGGAGGCTCAGGGAGTCTGCTTTGGAATTTTGGTTTTCCATTTCTCCTAAGTTTGCAAGCTGGTGCCTGGCTCAGACATCTCAGACTTTGATGTTGTATAAAACAGTGCCTGGCAACACCACGGAAGCTTGCTTGGTAAGGAAATCTTGCTTGAGCCTGGGTGAGGAGATCTCATCACAGGCCATATTGGCATCCAACTTTCAGCTTTCCTGAGCCTATAAAATCTGAGCCTTCAGAACCTTCTGAGTCCATCCTGTGAAGAGGACAGGAATCTGCAAAATGAGATAAATTGTGCATTGGAAGAGAGACTTAAATAGGTGGCACCTGTGTTCCTGCCCCCATCGGGGGTAGATTATTTTCTGAGTGTTTTACTTGTCTGCCATCTCCACCTGTTGCCATGCTACTCATTTCTTTCAATATTCGGCTCAAATGCCACCTCCACTTTAAAGTCTCACAGGATCTTCCTAGCGGCCGTCAATTGCCCCTCTTATGTTCACAGTCAGCCATGTTGAGTAGCTGTTCCTGGTGCCTATCTGTTTCCCTCGCCAGTGTTAGCGGCTTGAGGGTTGGGGCTCTGCCTTGCTCATGGTTGTAGGGAGGAAATACAGCACTATTGCTATGCATCCGGATTCAAAGCCTTGTGCCACCATGAACATTTATCCTCTAAGAGCCTCAATTGCCCTATTTATGAAATGGGGCAGATAATAGTACCTAACGCCTAGGGCTGTATGAATGACATGTGATAATCATGTTCTGGACACATCCTAGGAGCTTCATAAATGTTAGCGATTGCTATACTTATTGCTTGCAACTCTCTCCACAATCCGTGGTACATGGTTGGCTCTCCATAAAAATTTGTTAACTTCAATGTCATGACTCCACTGGCACTTCTGACACTGAAAGAGATGTTGCAGTGAGGGTATACTTTGGATTAATCGCCCCAGGGGATCTCTTCAATTCAGCTAGCTCTAACAGAACTCTAAAGAATACGCAGAGTTCTCCAGATTCTTATTCTACAAAAATAATAATAATAATAATAAAGCCCCCCGTACCTTTTGTTGTTGTGAGTCTGAGACACAATCCTTTTCTAAACAGGAGGATGCTAGGATTTAAACTTCTTATTAAATGTCTGACTCTTTTAATGCCAGTATAGAGCATTAAAAATTGGTGAAGAGCTTCAGGGTGGGCGAGTTGTGTCTGGGAGGTCCTTGTGTGCATAAGCTCAGCACCGAGATCTCTGATGAGGCACTGCTGACACCAAGAACAACAACCTCAGGGGACAACTGGAGCAATGCAACTGTGACCAAGCACGTAGTGATGATTAATTAGCTACACTGTCTCAGTCCTAATTATCCTAATTATCTCCACTTCATAGATGCAAATGCTGAGGCAAGTTACCTTGCTCAATGTCTCCTAGCCAGCCAATGGCAGCAACCAACATGTTACTACTTAGTCCTCCACAGTGACT